ACATAGGAAAGCTCATTCAGATCATTGATTGGCTGGTTTGAATTTCAGCTCATGTGAAGTTGTAGTCAGACTAATTATTAATAACTGTGAGAGGAGGGAACAGAGTCAGACACTTTGTTACTGATGGAGGTACACTGAGCAGGTGAACAAATTATGTTTTCTAAATAAGTTTAAATGACACAAAGTACAATCAGGTGGCTCTTTTCTCTCTCTAAGGATGGGGGTAGACAACACAGGGGAAGGAACAACATTATTTGTTCAACAACATTTTCTGATGGATAATGTCTCTCTCATAACTATGTTTGTTCTTTCAGGTTTTAATGAAACAGAAAACTACCAAGCTTATATCTTTGCTCTCACTTTACTGTGTTACTGTTTTATTGTGCTGGTAAATGTTTCTCTGATTGTGACCGTGATCTTGGACAAAAACCTGCATGAACCAATGTATATTCTACTGTGCACATTTTGCATGAATGGACTTTATGGGACAACAGGTTTCTACCCAAAGTTTCTCTGGGATCTGCTTTCTCCTGTTCAGGTTATCTCTTATTCTGGATGCCTTATTCAGGCTCTGGTGATGTACTCATTTGCCTGCAGTGATCTGTCCATTCTTGCAGTCATGGCATACGACAGATATGTGGCTATATGTCGCCCCCTGCAATACAACTCTATAATGTCAAAGCAAAGAGTCTTTCTGTTAGTCTGCTTTTCCTGGTTAACACCTTCCTGCATTATCGGCACAAATATTATTCTAACGTCTAGATTAAAGTTATGCAGCCCACATATTACCAGACTATTCTGTGTGAATTGGATTATTGTTAAACTTGCGTGTTTCCCAGCTGACACTTTGGTTAACAACATAGTTGCATACATAACAATAATCATTTACGTATTTCATGGTTTATTTATCGTCTGGTCTTACATGTATCTCGTCAAAACATGTGTGCATTCTAAGGAAAACAGAGCTAAATTCATGCAGACATGTGTGCCACATTTAATCTCCTTAATCACTTTTCTTGTGGCTATCCTTTTTGATGTGTCAAATATGCGAATTGGTTCAAAAGATTGGCCTCAACCGCTTCAAAACTTCATTGCAATAGAATTTCTTATCATACCTCCTATTATTAATCCTTTGATTTATGGTTTTAAATTGACCAAAATTAGAAACAGAATAATCGGTATTATAACTTTTAAAATGAAATTGCTTTTGTCTTAGATGATGTGGAAGAGCTGAAATATAAAATAATGTGTATTTGTTTTATTGTATATGATAATTTCCATAATGATTTTTGCATTTGGCATATTTTTAGCATATTTATATAACCTGCATTCAACTATTGAACTCATAAATGTATAGTTTGTAATTATTTGTATTCATATTTCAGATGATTCTTGTAAACCAAATAGTTTGCATTTACACGTGCCTTATTATAGTATGGAATAAAATGAATGCAATTGTAAAACCTAAATGTACTCATGTTGTTTTCTAACACAAGTATCAGTAATTCAGATTTGTGTACTGTACATGCACAAAGGACAAAGGATAGATTTGCAAAAAATAGGAGGAGTGACTATTAAGAATAAAATATTCAACCTTGGAGAGCTGAACTTGTCATCTTGAAAATACAAAATATAAACAGATAATCAAAGACAGAGAAGTAACCTGTACCAATTTTAAGCTGCATAACTAAATGATTTACCAGGTAAAACAGATGTGGAATCTAACTTTAAAAGTAAACTCTTTTATGTTTCACCTGAGAGTTAGACAGACATTAACACTTGTGTACACTGTCTTGTACTTACAGTATCTCTGCCTGCATTTGTTTTCCAACATTGCCTCATAATGGAATGCATTATAATGACATTTGTCCATTACCCACTTTGACTGTTTCTGGACCTGGTCCGACCTCTATAGAAGAGACAATCTTTACTTAAATGTTCACAGATCATGGTTGTGGCCTTGCTGTTGTTTTGAACAAGTCGTTTTATAATCAGAAAAATCATAGGCTAGGATTTCTACAATTTTGAAATGTTCAAATAGTAAGCTGCTTTCTAAAACACTAAATTGCTTATTTTGATCATTCACTAAATAAAACTTTGGTTTGTGCTAAACATATTTACATTTTGCATTGAATGCACTTTGAATGAACACTTGCCTGTTTCCCCTCATCGCACTAAGGAATAATATGAGCGAAAATATAAAACCTAAAACTACTCAATTGTTTTTATCCCACTTTTTAGTTACTCCGTTTTGATACCTTGTCTACGGTGGCCGAGAGGTGCAAACAATTTAAAGTTGGCCAACTATTACTGAAAACGTACTTAAAATTGTAGTTATTGTATTATTTTGTATGAGGGGCCGGACGGGCCGTAATTCATACTGGTCCTCCCACACACATATATTCTCCTTTCAAATACATATATTTTCACTCTCACCTACATACATTTTCACTCTCATATGCATATATATTTACACTCACACATTCTGCTCTCATATTATCATATTTCAATCAGGAGAGACTTCATTTTGTAAGAGAACATTTATTGACACATGTCACATAATAAATGTTAAGTCTTTGGCGATTAGACCGCGATCCTGAAATCGTATATCTAAAGGGGGAAATGCAGCCGTGAGCATATAGAGAACCCCCCGGGGTCTAGACACTGGTGATGATGCTGAAGATCTGGATTTGATGAGGAGATGGGATGAAGGGGAGGTGTGATGAGGTCTTTGGATAACTCTCCTGGCACTGGATATGATGAAAGGAGGTGGATGGTGAGGAGGCGGGCGGCAGCATGACGTCCTGAAATCACAGCTGACTGCAGGAGAGAGGATAACCATTTTAAAGTTTGGCTGCAGCACGGTGATTGGCTGCTGGAGAACGAGGTGAATGTAATAGGTTAAAGAGAACGCCCGTGATGAGCTGATTATAAGCAGCTGCGGACTGAAGTATACCAGTCTTCCTGAAATAATTTACGCTAAGCTTCATTTCAATCAGGAGAGACTTCATTTTGTACTAGAACATTTATTGACACATGTCACATAATAAATGGTAATTCTTTGGCGATTAGACCCCGATCCTGAAATCGTATATCTAAAGGGGGAAATGCAGCCGTGAGCATATAGAGAACCCCCCAAAAAAAAGAGGAAAGTGAATGAAGTATGAGGAGATCGGGCCACTTGACGAAGGATCTTAACTTACCAGGTGGCGTTTCCTTTCATCTCAAACCTTTATTTAACCAGGTGGTCCCATTGAGATCATCGATCTCTT